TCAACCGGTGCAACGGCTTGCCGTTCCCATACTCCATGCAGAGACACTGAGTAAGAGAATGAGTTGTATGGGAAGGGCCGGGCTTAGAAACATCTCCGCCCACAGCAAACATAATTTTTGCGTAATTATCAAGCCTGCATCAAACGCAGATCACGAAATCGCGGCAAGTAAAGATACGGAAGTGGACTGCAAATCCATTGCCGCACCAATTATTATCCCCAGCGGTGGTCACGGGAGCTGATAATTTTAGTGTGCATACGGTCACGTGGCCGCTTAGAACTTTAAATATCTCGTAATAAGTGCATATAACACCCTGATCTGTGTATGTATCACTCTATTCTACGGGAAAATCTGATGAGAGGTTTTCGAAAGAGCCCGAAACTTCACGCAAATAAAACTCTTGCTTCAGCGATCGCATCTTCCACTTCTGTTTTAATTCAAATCAACTTCGGATCTACATTTATTTTTATAGATAACAATTTAGGCAGTGAACCCAACTGCATTTTAAATGTTATCTTGAATTATGCACGCCAGTTTGCGCGGTTCATAAAATACACACATGAGTTTTAAGTTATTTCGAAAGCTTAATATTCATCTCGGTGTGCTTAAAATGCAGCATTTTCTGAAACTGAAAAAAATTTTTCCTGGTGTGCACGGAAACACATTACTTACTTTTTATCCAAATTTCTTTATCTCCGTTTAGCATTAACTGAACTTCCAAATCACAGCGAGAAAGTTTAGATGTGTCTTTCTGCGGCAGTGAATTTTCCGTCCAGCGATAAATTTCGAATTGGATATCCACCCGGCAGGCAAATGATCGCAAGATCCTTATTCCTATATAGTTCACAAAACACATTTATTTGGATGTGAAAAGATGGCAAAAGCACGAATTTTAATATGAGAAATAAGGCTAGGGCAAAGGTAGTTTACGAAGTGCACCTTTTACAGTCTAGTTCCAGCATTTTTCCCTACGGTAACGGTGATAATAAGGGGTTTTGGGGGTGGGTAAATAGAATAGA